TGCAGGTGTTGCCAGGAGTGTGTCAGGTGGTGCAGTGTGTTTGCCAGGTGTTGCCAGGAGATTGTCAGGTGGTGCAGGTGTTGCCAGGAGTGTGTCAGGTGGTGCAGGTGTTGCCAGGAGTGTGTCAGGTGGTGCAGGTGTTGCCAGGAGTGTGTCAGGTGGTGCAGGTGTTGCCAGGAGATTGTCAGGTGGTGCAGGTGTTGCCAGGAGTGTGTCAGGTGTTGCCAGGAGTGTGTCAGGTGGTGCAGGTGATGCCAGGAGTGTGTCAGGTGGTGCAGGTGTTGCCAGGAGTGTGTCAGGTGTTGCCAGGAGTGTGTCAGGTGGTGCAGGTGTTGCCAGGAGTGTGTCAGGTGGTGCAGGTGTTGCCTGGAGTGTGTCAGGTGGTGCAGGTGTTGCCTGGAGTGTGTCAGGTGGTGCAGGTGTTGCTAGGAGTGTCAGGTGGTGCAGGTGTTGCCAGGAGTGTGTCAGGTGGTGCAGGTGTTGCCAGGAGATTGTCAGGTGGTGCAGGTGTTGCCTGGAGTGTGTCAGGTGGTGCAGGTGTTACCAGGAGTGTGTCAGGTGGTGCAGGTGTTGCCAGGAGTGTGTCAGGTGGTGCAGGTGTTGCCAGGAGTGTGTCAGGTGGTGCAGGTGTTGCCAGGAGTGTGTCAGGTGTTGCCTGGAGTGTGTCAGGTGGTGCAGGTGTTGCCTGGAGTGTGTCAGGTGTTGCCTGGAGTGTGGCAGGTGGTGCAGGTGTTGCCTGGAGTGTGGCAGGTGGTGCAGGTGTTGCCTGGAGTGTGGCAGGTGTTGCCAGGAGTGTGTCAGGTGGTGCAGGTGTTGCCTGGAGTGTGGCAGGTGTTGCCAGGAGTGTGTCAGGTGGTGCAGGTGTTGCCAGATTGTCAGGTGGTGCAGGTGTTGCCAGGAGTGTGTCAGGTGTTGCCTGGAGTGTGTCAGGTGGTGCAGGTGTTGCCAGGAGGTGCAGGTGTTGCCAGGAGTGTGTCAGGTGGTGCAGGTGTTGCCTGGAGTGTGTCAGGTGGTGCAGGTGTTGTCTGGAGTGTGTCAGGTGGTGCAGGTGTTGTCAGGAGTGTGTCAGGTGGTGCAGGTGTTGTCAGGAGGTGCAGGTGTTGCCTGGAGTGTGTCAGGTGGTGCAGGTGTTGCCTGGAGTGTGTCAGGTGGTGCAGGTGTTGCCTGGAGTGTGTCAGGTGGTGCAGGTGTTGTCAGGAGTGTGTCAGGTGGTGCAGGTGTTGCCTGGAGTGTGTCAGGTGGTGCAGGTGTTGCCTGGAGTGTGTCAGGTGGTGCAGGTGTTGCCTGGAGTGTGTCAGGTGGTGCAGGTGTTGTCAGGAGTGTGTCAGGTGGTGCAGGTGTTGTCAGGAGTGTGTCAGGTGGTGCAGGTGTTGCCTGGAGTGTGTCAGGTGGTGCAGGTGTTGCCTGGAGTGTGTCAGGTGGTGCAGGTGTTGCCAGGAGTGTGTCAGGTGGTGCAGGTGTTGTCAGGAGTGTGTCATTTGGTGCAGGTGTTGCCAGGAGTGTGTCAGGTGGTGCAGGTGTTGCCATGAGTGTGTCAGGTGGTGCAGGTGTTGTCAGGAGTGTGTCAGGTGGTGCAGGTGTTGTCAGGAGTGTGTCAGGTGGTGCAGGTGTTGCCTGGAGTGTGTCAGGTGGTGCAGGTGTTGCCTGGAGTGTCAGGTGGTGTCAGGAGTGTGTCAGGTGGTGCAGGTGTTGTCAGGAGTGTGTCAGGTGGTGCAGGTGTTGCCTGGAGTGTGTCAGGTGGTGCAGGTGTTGTCAGGAGTGTGTCAGGTGGTGCAGGTGTTGTCAGGAGTGTGTCAGGTGGTGCAGGTGTTGCCAGGAGTGTGTCAGGTGGTGCAGGTGTTGCCAGGAGTGTGTCAGGTGTTGCAGGTGTTGCCAGGAGTGTGTCAGGTGTTGCACGTGTTGCCTGGAGTGTGTGTTTACTAGTCGTGTTTTTGCGGGGGTTGAGCTCTGCTCTTTCGGCCCGCCTCTCAACTGTCAATCAACTGTTTACTATTTTTTTTCCCCCACACCACACACACACACCCTAGGAAGCAGCCCGTGACAGCTGACTAACTCCCAGGTACCTATTTACTGCTAGGTAACAGGGGCACTTAGGGTGAAAGAAACTTTGCCCATTTGTTTCTGCCTCGTGCGGGAATCGAACCCGCGCCACAGAATTGCGAGTCCTGCGCGCTATCCACCAGGCTACGAGGCCCCCTTCAGGTGTGTCAGGTGGTGCAGGTGTTGCCTGTCCGACAACCAGGTGCTGGTCGTACTGCCACAACACAGGGCAGTGTTGTGTTGCTTGTAGCGCCTGAGAGCTGGCACTCGCCCTTGTGTGGTGGTGGGGGTTGTGGCGCGGCTTAACTCTCACTATTGAGTGATAGCACATAAGATAACATCAGTAGGAATAACAGGTAAAGTTGACCGATGGATATCCCAGCCCGTCCTCTCCAGCGTTCACAACGTCACTAAACTGATGTACTAAATTGCTTCACCTTATCCTAACCAACCTTGGACCTTGGAGTTGATTGATTTGATTGTTACCGCCGAAGGCGGCTAGTTTATTGTGCACCCCATACTCATCCTGTGAGCGGTAGCGCAAAAGCATTACAGAGGGCACAAAAGGTCTTTATCAGACCTCATCTTAGATTATTACATAAACAATTTCTTCAATCCTTCACACCTTATAGATACAATGTCAGCTAGTTACAGAGAAAGTGCTATTACAAGAGCTACATATTTACAGTAAGTCATCATACATTAATGGTAGGTCTTGTCGTTAATACATAATAGTTTGGCCAATGGGGATATTACAGAGTCATAGGGGAGCTTCTGTTTATTATTAGTCCTCACAATACACTACTTGTTTCTGAATCTCATATGTCGTTCATCTACTGGAAGCAAAATGTGGGTACAGTGCAAGGATTTCAGGTAATTTATCCATGGTAATAAGATAGGTTGCCATATCATACAGAGTGAGCTTAGATTTATCTCTAAAAGGCTCAATTTTACAACAATCCAAGATATAGTGATCGAGTGTGTGTCCCTGCCTATGTCCACACACTTTACACTTTACTTCATCTGGATCCTTGGAGTTACCTTGGAGTGTTTCCGGGGCTTAGCGTACCCGCGTCCGGTCGTCGACCAGGCCTCCTGGTTGCTGGACTGGTCAACCAGGCTGTTGGACGCAGCTGCTCGCAGCCTGACGTATGAGTCACAGCCTGGTTGATCAGGTATCCTTTGGAGGTGCTTATCCAGTTCACCCTTGAACACTGTGAGGGGTCGGCCAGTTATGTCCCTTATGTGTAGTGGAAGCGTGTTGAACAGTCTCGGGCCTCTGATGGTGATAGTTCTCTCTTGAACACTGTGAGGGGTCGGCCAGTTATGTCCCTTATGTGTAGTGGAAGCGTGTTGAACAGTCTCGGGCCTCTGATGTTGATAGTTCTCTCTTGAACACTGTGAGGGGACTGCCAGTTATGTCCCTTATGTGTAGTGGAAGCGTGTTGAACAGTCTCGGGCCTCTGATGGTGATAGTTCTCTCTTGAACACTGTGAGGGGACTGCCAGTTATGTCCCTTATGTGTAGTGGAAGCGTGTTGAACAGTCTCGGGCCTCTGATGTTGATAGTTCTCTCTTGAACACTGTGAGGGGACTGCCAGTTATGTCCCTTATGTGTAGTGGAAGCGTGTTGAACAGTCTCGGGCCTCTGATGGTGATAGTTCTCTCTTGAACACTGTGAGGGGACTGCCAGTTATGTCCCTTATGTGTAGTGGAAGCGTGTTGAACAGTCTCGGGCCTCTGATGTTGATAGTTCTCTCTTGAACACTGTGAGGGGACTGCCAGTTATGTCCCTTATGTGTAGTGGAAGCGTGTTGAACAGTCTCGGGCCTCTGATGGTGATAGTTCTCTCTTGAACACTGTGAGGGGACTGCCAGTTATGTCCCTTATGTGTAGTGGAAGCGTGTTGAACAGTCTCGGGCCTCTGATGGTGATAGTTCTCTCTTGAACACTGTGAGGGGTCGGCCAGTTATGTCCCTTATGTGTAGTGGAAGCGTGTTGAACAGTCTCGGGCCTCTGATGGTGATAGTTCTCTCTTGAACACTGTGAGGGGACTGCCAGTTATGTCCCTTATGTGTAGTGGAAGCGTGTTGAACAGTCTCGGGCCTCTGATGTTGATAGTTCTCTCTTGAACACTGTGAGGGGTCGGCCAGTTATGTCCCTTATGTGTAGTGGAAGCGTGTTGAACAGTCTCGGGCCTCTGATGGTGATAGTTCTCTCTTGAACACTGTGAGGGGACTGCCAGTTATGTCCCTTATGTGTAGTGGAAGCGTGTTGAACAGTCTCGGGCCTCTGATGGTGATAGTTCTCTCTTGAACACTGTGAGGGGTCGGCCAGTTATGTCCCTTATGTGTAGTGGAAGCGTGTTGAACAGTCTCGGGCCTCTGATGGTGATAGGTGGACCCACCAATATAACACGTTTGGGAGCTGGTATGATTTCCAGTACGTCATTGTTAAGCCGTAGGGGCCTCGTACATCACAATGTGTTGTTCTATTCAGTTTTCAGTCAAAGAGAATGTAAAGAGTAAGAGTCAAGAAGATAGCGGGTTGTCCTGGCCAGTTGCGAGGTGATGTAGTTCACCAACCCCGCCTCCTGGAATGATAGTACTTATTGTAACTATGTTGTTTACCGTTCTAATATATAGTAATGAACCCCACGTTCCTCCATTAGTCCATGGTTCCTCCATGGACTACTGGAGGAACACCTGGCTTCCCAACACGAGAGGACACAGTGTGACGGACTAGAGGTCGGGGCGGTCATCACATGTCTACATGCTGACCGAGCGGTCACCGAGCTGGTAACGTCACCGCGCTCGACCATATAGTGATGGTACTATGAATCTTCCTGTATTAGAAGAATTTACCAATGTACCTGCAGTTGATTACGTATTGGAGCACAAACATTTAGTAAGGAAGTTAGTGGATTATTGTAATGTACACACATTGAACCATTCATGTCAGAGCGGGAGCAGCAGGAACATGAACTACGGAGATTACATGACAGGAGAAACACACCATCCAAGCAGTGACTGAGAGACCTCCGGCCTCAATACCACACACCCCACCCCACCCTATAACCACACCCCACAACCACTCCCCCAACACTCCATTACTTGAGAATGTCCGGACCTAACACCCCCCCCCCTCGTTGCACCCAATCCCATCACCCATCTATGCTGTTACAAGCCCTCCATATCGTGCATAATCCTCCTCTGGCCCCACTCCCCCTTCCCCCCACCGCCTATTCACCCCCACCCCCTATTCCCCCCCACCCCTATTACTCGTGCCCACCCCCTACCTCCCACCAACAATTACCCTACCACCCACTCCCTGACCCCCCACTCACTTCCTGACCCCCACCCACTCCCTGACCCCCCACCCACTCCCTCATCCCCACCCACTCCCTGACCCCCACCCACTCCCTGACCCCCACTCAATCCCTGACCCCAACCCACTCCCTGACCCCCACCTACTCCCTGACCCCCACCCACTCCCTGATCCCCCACCCACTCCCTGACCCCCACCCACTCCCTGACCCCCACCCACTCTCTGACCCCCTCCCACTCCCTGACCCCCACCCACTCCCTGACCCCCCACCCACTTCCTTACCCCCACCCACTCCCTGATCCCCCACCCACTCCCTGACCCCCACCCACTCCCTGACCCCCACCCACTCCCTGACCCTCACCCCATCCACTCCCTCACCCCATCCACTCCCTCACCCCACCCACTCCCTGACCCCCCACCCACTCCCTGACCCCCCACCCACTCCCTGACCCCCACCCACTCCCTCATCCCCACCCACTCCCCTACCCCCACCCACTCCCTGACCCCCACCCCATCCACTCCCTCACCCCATCCACTCCCTCACCCCACCCACTCCCTCACCCCCACCCACTCCCTGACCCCCACCCACTCTCTCATCCCCACCCACTCCCTTACCCCCACCCACTCCCTGACCCCCACCCACTCTCTCATCCCCACCCACTCCCTCACCCCCACCCACTCTCTGACCCCCTCCCACTCCCTGACCCCCACCCACTCTCTCATCCCCACCCACTCCCTTACCCCCACCCACTCCCTGACCCCCACCTACTCCCTGACCCCCCCCCACTCCCTCATCCCACCCACTCCCTCATCCCACCCACTCCCTCATCCCACCCACTCCCTGACCCCCCACCCACTCCCTGACCCCCCCACCCACTCCCTGACCCCACCACCCACTCCCTGACCCCCCCACCCACTCCCTGAGCCCCCACCCACTCCCTGACCCCCCACCCACTCCCTCACCCCCCTGTAATGATCTGGGGCTCAGATCATTGGTTCTCCCTTCTCCCCTCTTATCCCTCCCCTTCTCCCATCCTTTCCTTCTCCCTCTCCCTCTCCCCTCCCCTTGGCCGTCATTCGTCTCCTCCTCTCCCCCCCCCCCTGTCGCCCATTTGTCAGGGTCAAGAGGTTGACCTGAGGGTAGGGTGGTCGTGGATACCTTGGCTTCTCCCACTCAATTCCCCACTCAAATGTTCCCTCTCATTCCCTCTCTTTCCCTCTCAGCAGCGGCCTTCCCCATACCAGGCAGAGTCAAATGTCCCTACTCCTATCTTAGAGGAGACAGGCTTGAACATAAATTATCAGTTTTGTAAACATTGCTCGCAGGTGCCTGGGCTCCATAGACGCGCCTTGTCCCTCTTCTCTTTAGCTGGGGAGAGCTGACTCAATCTTCAGAAATTCATGTAGCTTTCCACGACAGATCAGTGAAGGTGATTGGCCTGAGATAAGGGCCAAGTCCTTATTGGCCCTAGAGAGCCAGACCTCAGGCCTACGTGTTAAATGGTTGGCCATTGCCAAAATAATGGGTGGAGCCCTGGGGCTGTAGTAGATGGTGGGAGGAGCAATCCTTCCCAGCAATAAGTTGGTAAAACCAAATTTCATCAGTGTGTCTTGGGAGTGTATTAGGAACAGGGCCGCAAGCCCGTATCCTCGGGGCTGAGGGCAGCCATCAACATCTTGGCCGTGGTGCGGGTATTTAAGGTATAGTGCACTTGAGTTTTGTGTCCTCGGTAAATATCCATTGTGCCTCTAGGGAAATAGAATAGGTGATGTGTTCAAATGTTCTTAATTTACATGTTTCATAAAATAAATTGTATAGCTTGTCCAGTGGTATTCACTTAACTCCCCTTTGATATATTTTGCTACTTTGTCATTTTTAGGTGTTGTATTGGAAGCCCCCATGTTCTCCTACTATTAATAGATACTAAAGTTGCCCTTGGATTCAAATAAGTAACGTAAATTACACAAACTAATTTTCCAAAATTTATTTCTGAAATTCATATTACCCGGAGTCCCATGGTTACTGATTCCTTGCCTTCCTGGGGGATCGGTGATTGACACATTCAGGTATGGTTGGTCGGGAAGGTGGTGGCAGTGTAAATGTGTTATGTTATTGTTTTTTTTAACTAATAACCCTTGTCCTTGGTGTATCTTCCTCATTTAATATTCCTCTTACATACGTGGCCGTCCAGTGAGGGGTCATGCTGGACTGTAACAGTGTTAAGCTGGGGTATTGAGTGAAGAGAGACAGAGACGTACAACAGAGAGCGTATATTACGATCACGAGAGATAACACGATAACAGGAGTAATACTGGGGAACATTGGGTTATTACAATAGAGGCCGCGGTTATTACGGCAGGGTAAGCGGTCATTACACCCCCACCCACTCCCTCACCCCCACCCACTCCCCGATTCCGAGCTCCCGCTCTGAAGGGAAAATGAGTATCGATCAGTACTCAACACGGGACAGTACAAGTGATATGAAAAGTACACCTGTTGTGATGGGATCACTGGATTTGAACGTTCTCGTAATCCATCCTATCATTGTTATATATGTTTGGTTATGCTATCTATGCTTGGTCATGCTTATGTCGTCAGACATCATTATTCCCAAATCCTTTTCATACTGCTTTCCTACTATGGGCAGATTTGATTGTGTTTTGTACCCTCTATTATGTTTAAAGTCCTCATCTTTAGCATACCTGAGTACTTGGAATTGATCACTGTTAAACATCATGTTATTTTCTGCTGCCCAATCTCAATTTCTTTCTTGTTTATGCACCCCATACCCATCCCGTGAGCGATGCCCACTCGAAAACTTTATTAACATCTGCTTGTAGTTTTTCAATGTCTTCAACAGAGGTAATGTTCATGTTGATTTTTGTGTCATCTGCAAAGGATGACACGAAGCTGTGACTTGTATTTTTTGTCTTCATCCGATATGAGAATAAGGAAAAGCAGTGGTGCAAGGACTGTACCTTGAGGTACATAGCTTTTAACTGCGCTCAGACTCGATTATATTTGGTTGATTGTTACTCTGTGTTCTGTTTGACAGAAAACTGAGTATCCAGCTTCCTACTTTACCAGTTATTCCCATTGACCTCATTTTGTGTGCTATCACTCCATAGTCACATTTATCGAATGCCTTTGCAAAGTCTTGGGAATTAGTGGGATCGTCTCAAAACTCTCCAAATGTACTCACTAGAAAGGAGACGAGAGAGATATCAAATAGTGTACATGTGGAAAATACTGGAGGGCCAGGTCCCAAATCTACACAGTAAAATAACAACATACTGGAGTGTACGATATGTATGAAAATGCAGAATAGAACCAGTGAAGAGCAGAGGTGCCATAGACACAATCAGAGAACACTGTATAAACATCAGAGGTCCGCGGTTGTTCAACATCCTCCCAGCGACTATAAGAAATATTGCCGGAACAACCGTGGACATCTTCAAGAGAAAACTAGATAATTTTTCCAAGGAGTGCCGGACCAACCGGGCTGTGGTGGATATGTGGGCCTGCGGGCCGCTACAAGCAACAGCCTGGTGGACCAAACTCTCACAAGTCACTAGATGAACTCTCAGAATCCCATCAAGTCCGTGTATACTACATCTGCATTCTGTTTTTCTTCTAAAGCCTCAGTGACTGTCGTAGTGGTCAAAATCCAATTAATATTATTTTAAGAATAGGTGGGAACTTGAGGGTAGGACACGTCCAGTGTTACATTGTTGTTGGTGAATGTTGAAGGTGTGCGATATCTCAGTCCCCGTGGTGTAGTGGTAACACACTCGCCTGGCGTTTTGCGAACGCTTTGTCCTGGGTTCGTATCCTGGCCGGGGAGGATTTACTGGGCGTCATTCCTTACCTGTAGCCTCTATTTACCCAATACTAAAATGGGTACCGGGTTGTTAAACGATTTGGCGGGTCGTATTCCAGGGAATGTAGGATTAAGGACTTACCCGAAACGCTACTCGTACTAGTGGCTGTACAGGAATGTAAGAACACGCGCGCGCGCGCGCGCGCGCGCACACACACACACACACACACACACACACACACACACACACACACACACACACACACACACACACACACACACACACACACACACACACACACACGCGTTTTATTATGCAAATAGAGTGGTAGACGGTTGGAACAAGTTAGGGGAGAAGGTGGTGGCGGCCAAGACCGTCAGTAGTTTCAAAGCGTTATATGACAAAGAGTGCTGGGAAGACGGGACACCACGAGCGTAGCTCTCATCCTGTAACTACACTTAGGTAATTACACACACACACACACACACACACACACACACACACACACACACACACACACACACACACACACACACACACACACGCGTTTTATTATGCAAATAGAGTGGTAGACGGTTGGAACAAGTTAGGGGAGAAGGTGGTGGCGGCCAAGACCGTCAGTAGTTTCAAAGCGTTATATGACAAAGAGTGCTGGGAAGACGGGACACCACGAGCGTAGCTCTCATCCTGTAACTACACTTAGGTAATTACACACACACACACACACACACACACACACACACACACACACACACACACACACACACACACACACACACACACACACACACAAACACACGCACGCACACAAACACACGCACACACACACGCACACACGCACGCACGCACGCACACACACACACACACACACACACACACA